GAATCTTGCTGCTACATAATAGCCCATCATTTTGCATTTCCATTAAAGGCATTAGTTGGAGTTTTATTTTCCGATGCTCTTTGATGTTATGTTGTTTGGCCAGGTAGTATTTTGAAATTAAGTTTATTACTAAAATAAAATAAAATAATGTATTAAAGTAAAAAAAAATTGCGGTAAGATTTCAGGTGCGAGATATTTTCATATTGGTCAGTTTTATGAGAAAGTAACTTACGTCCATTATAATGTAAAATAATGACTAATAAAACAACTATAAGTCATAATAAATCGTGCTATATCTGTAACTGATACAATAAACAAAGAATCCAACCAGACGTGATAATGCTTAAACAAAATAATAATTTCGTAAAACAATACTGAAAATAAGCACCTTTCGGATGAAATATGACCTTCAGGGATTTAAAGACGGCATAAATTACGCGGGTCCGCTCCATATTAATTACCGGGACACTTCCGGCTGCGCCGGGAAAGAAGGCTGTACATCGGTGGGCGGGCGCTGACAATGGGCGCGGTCAGCGGGCCGCGGCGACAGACAACAACATTGTTGGTGAATCTAGATACTAGACTTGTTACCAAGCATTTTGTTAATAATAAAAGTTCATAGCTACGATAGCCCAACGATGAAGTGGTCGGACTGGCCGACTCGAGATCCGAGGAACACGGGTTGGATTCCCACCGCCGATCGACTGTTGTGGTGAGCCCACTCGTAAGCTTTTTTAGCTTATCACGAGGGGCTAATGGGACTATTAGTAATTTGTTCAATACAATTTGCTAATAATCTTTTTTTAATTAAAAAAAATAAAAATAAAATCTTTTAAAAAGCGCTTTTATACGTTTCAATATTACTTTAACCCTACCACTGCTTCGGAACAATAAATGGGCCGGTGCTGAGAAGAAGCTACGCATGAAACTCAAGTCAATTTAAGGTTTCAATTTCGAAGATCCATCCATTCTAGAGCATGTTATACTACGCTAGTTAGTTCCAAACTGGTGGTCTAGATAGCAATACCTAAAACAAGTTTAAGTTAAATTATTGACCATTTGTTGTATATACTTAATATTTATGAATCGCTGCTTCTAGTTCAGACTCTAACATCTTTTTTTTGAGTCAGCATTCACACGATTTTCAATGAATCAAAGGAAAATTATTAATATAAATGGCATTAAAATCCCATTTTTAATGATATTACTTTAATAAAATACCCTTTTATTAAAAACCTCTCGCAATCTCACCTAATTCCGGGTAAAAAGCAATACACCGGATCATTAAAACCCCGCGGCAGGTATTTCGAACTGAAAGGACGTTTCTAAGAAACCCCCACGACAAAAAATGAAAATATAATCACTTTATGATGGATATTAGCAATTCAGTAAATAGAGTTTGATTTTGAAACGCAACTTTTTTACACCAGTTCTTCAGCACACTCATGCTAGGTGTGAAATTTTGTTTGTCTTGATGTTCGTTTAGATACTGGACATTGATTGGGGGCTCCAAGCTGTGTGAATTAATTTACAAGGGAAATTTTCGTCATCTATTAATGGTAAGCCTTTGTTCCACCTCGTTGGCTTTGAATTTGTTGTGGAAAGACTTTATTGCTGTTGAAGAAGGGAGCCTTTTTAGCATGTTTATAAGAAAGTAAAAATTATCACATTATTTGGTGGATATTGCTTTTTTGTAATTTCATGAATAGCTAAAAGCTCAAGCTACCGAAAGGTTGTGGGTTTGATTCCCGCCTTAGAGATTTTCAAGTTCTTTCAAGTTCTTCAATGTTTTCAAGTGAAATGTTTCAAGTTCTTCAATTTTTTCAAGTTGTTTATTGAAAATTTAGCTAAAACTCGTTATTTTCCCGTGGCGGTTGTGACGTTAGACTGCAGAGATGCGTCGAGTCCCCGTGACCGTGGTGGGAACGAGGACTTATTGGCGAGGACAGGGCTGCTGGTCACGTACAGGGGTTAAAATACATTATTGCTTGATTGGCGACTTAACGCGGAGAGCCTTTCTGCCAGATAGAGCTACTTAAATGATTATGATTTAAAACAGACTCCAAAAAAGTGCACAAAAGTATTGCATTATTTACCTATAAGGACATTACCTACCTATTATTGTATTACCATGCTTCATATTTTTGGATATGGTAGCTTGCTAAGAGCTGGTCATATTTTTTTCCTTTTAGTCCACTTTTGAGTCTGATTTAATGTTGTCTCTTAGACAATTCGTTCGTTTCAGCCAAATGACGTCAACTGTTGGACAAAGGCCTCCTACCTACCCCGATATTTACTCGTATATTGAGACAATTACAGTAATGTTATTCTCTGAATTGCCTAATTACTTAAACATTGCAAAAATCTACTGCCAGCCCTGTCACGAATGATTCTGGCTGTTGTCTCCTTAGGGATGGTGTGCCCCCCACATTGGAGGGGGGGGGGGGGGGATGTAAAAATCGCTTCCCAAATTGGAACACTTAGCGGCGAACGATTCAATGCGGAGTGTCGGCGATGCTTCGGACGCATTTGTTTCCGAGAGTGACCATCATTTCCGGAACAACTCCAGGATTTGTTATGTTCTGGAATCTATTCAAATAGCTACCACTTTTTACTAAAATGACAAAACTACCTAAGCATCTCTGAAGATCATGAACAACTTATTATTTATCTTTACAAAAACATTTCAATATGAGTACCAGATTGCATCATATAATTAACGCTGAGGCCATACAAAAAGAAAAGAGTTTAGGTGAACTACGTATAAGATCATTAATTGTGGATTCTACATCTAAATTATAATGTTAAATGGTTACATTACTCTACACTTTAACACAATTAATTTTAATGAAAATATGTAGGTATTATTTCGGTCACCCTACCAGAGTGGTGGCAAGCGCGTTGATTGGTCCAGATTTAGCCCGGGATGTTGTTATTATTGATGGCAGTCGTGACACTACATTACCGCCAGGAAAAAGGACACGTTGCAGCGCTTGATAGCTCCTCGTGAGCGATGAGCGGCGGAAATGCAGCCAACTTGGATGAGCTTTGGCGTCGAGAATCGTAACTCAGGAAATTTGTAGGTATCTAGGTATTTATTTTATTTATTTACTGGCAGCCGCCCGCGACTTCGTACGCGTGGATCCCGTTTTACCCCCTTAGGAGTTGAATTTTGCAAAATCCCGTCTTAGTGAGCTCCTACGTTTTAAAAGGAACCCCCATGCAAAATTTGAGCCTCCTAGCACTTGTAGTTTCTGAGATTTCGTGATGAGTGTGTCAGTCAATCAGTGACCTTTCGCTTTTATAGATTATACAGTGTGTCCGGGCATGTAGTGATCAAACTTTAAGGGCGTAATCTATGGACAATTTTATCGATGAAAATACTTCAAATTTGGGGCTTGACCCATTTCTCGCAAAATTACAAGGATTTAAGTTTTGAATTTTAAGTTTTCACCTCTTCTTTCAAAAACATTTGATAGCGTGGGTAGCTTAACACTAATAAGCAAAAATTTTATATCATGCGAAAGCCAATAAAATTATCTATTAGCAGAAGTAGAAAACAGATACAAGTTTCATACATTTTAAGGGAGTAAGAATGGATTTAATTAGAAAAAAAGCATGACTTTTTTCACTTCTTTTTCAGTTATTTTCCAACACAAGAAAAACCAATTCATTANTTAAATCTGTAACTTGCTGCAAATATGTAATGAATTCAAACAAATTATTTAAAAAAATAGCTTCGATACATATTATACATTTTTCAAACCACTTTTTTAATTTCGGTCGGGTCGCGAACTTGTAAAAAAAAAATGTTAATCCGGCATGCTCGAGCGCGATTTTTTTTATTTTTATTTTGAAGAATATAATCTAAAACTTACTAAAAATACAAAATCTTCCGGTTTCCGCATGACCGGAAGTGTGGAGAAGCCATTTCGTCTTCCTAAGAACGCGTTACGGCATATAAGTCGCGAACGATACATTTTACAAAAAAATAAAGTTTAAATAAACATTTACGTTGGTTGTATCTTATCGCTTTATTGGCATAAATTCCCCATTTTATCAAGGAGAAAGAAAGGAAAAAAAAGAAACCAAAAACCTTTTTCGGTCAGATTAAGAGTACTACCAACATTTTTGTCTGATTACAAAAATATGCTTTCAGGATACCGAGATAAACCTCCCCTATGAAAATCTGACGCGCTCGAGTATTTCAAAAAAACTTTTTTTTTGCATTTTCATAAATTCATCGTAACTTATCGTCATCACGCCGAAATCGTCAGTTTTTTTAAAGGGAGCTTCCTTGGGGCCTACTTAACACCCCTTCCGAAAATCTGACGCGCTCGAGTAAATATATTCATTTCTTTTTGTATTTTGTAGACAGCAGTTATGTATCTAGAAAACTGGACCGAAATTGAAAAATTTTACTCGACTTGGCGGTTGCACTACCGTGCCCCCAAATATTTTAGTTTTTCCTTGATTCATACACCAAACACTACATATATTAATTTGAAGCTTCTAGGTCTGCTAGAAGTGCCTTAGAGTTTTGATGATCGGTGAGTCAGTGAGTCAGTCAGTGAGTGACAAAATTAAGTAACTTTGACCCGTTATAATTCTTAAACTACTGGTTCAAATTGAATGAAATTTTAAATATACCGTGTCTTTACAATGCCTGCATAGCTAATGAAAATTCAGCCTTCTAGTTTTATCCACAACGAAGTTACAGGCGGTCGAAAATGGCCTGAATTGCTTCGAGAAAAGGATGGTACGGCCGTGCCGCTTTTTTGCTCGACTTATGTATGGAAAACAAATGATATTTAGACTGACGACAGCACCTGGTATGCTTACAAATTCGCCCCTATTACAACTAGGTACGAACCCGCAGTCACAGATGAGTTACTCCGCAGTGTTAAGCTTGATATGCGTCGTCTGTACATACTCGTATTTACCCGACTGCGCCAGAAAGAGGGCTATGTTTTCTGAAAGTTTATCTAACTAAAGTCAGTTCGGTACTTTAAAGTGTTTTACCTATTGCAGTGCACCAACGGCTCTTTGTCGTACTTGTAGATGTTCACAATCGACCGGTCTGCCTTGAGATCAGGGGCCACCTCCACGTTGTACAGATGCCGACCCCCCCAGGATTCGGTCCACAGCATGTTCACTGAGAATCCGTTGCCGATGCCCAGACCCTCGTCCCGAAGGATCCTTTCAGCATCATAGAAGTTCTTGGCTGCTAACAGCGCTCGCGTGACGAATGTTCGGGCTGGAAAAGTGAAAAGGTTAAGTTAGAAAACATCTTTGAATCTGTAGCTTGGATGAATACCAGTCGGTATCAAAAGGATTTAGCGATCGATTTGAATCGATAATCGATTTAGATCGACGATAATCTTCTTGTCAGCACTGGCCCATTTATTGTCCTGAAACAGTGGTAGGTAGGGTGAACTGGGACGTGTAAAAGTGCTTTTTAAAAGCCTACCTTGCATAAATACTTAAGTAAATAAGTTTTATGAGTTTTTTTTAAATTATGTGTTTTACCTTCCATTCCATCGTCAGCTCATCAACATGAGATACAAAGTTTATAAAACCTTCTCCATAATATAAAAAATAGTTTTCTGAAAACCGCATCAAAATCGGTTCAGCCAACATGACTTACAGATTAAACTGAGAACCTCCAAACGAAACAGTATCATACAATTTTTCCACATCTGGGCGAACGTACTTCTGCTAGATGGACTGAGGACCGTGGTAATGGCTGGATGAAACGGAAGATCGAACTTTTTGGCCCACCCTGCTTGTTTCCTTGATAAGCTTAAAAACAGGAGAGGATTGCCTTGGGGGAGATTGTAATAACGGCCGGTCCTGACTCCTGCGCTGCCTGCCTCCAGGTGTTTCCCGCGATCCTCATCAGACCGTTGGTTCACATAGTGGTGGACTTGCCTGCACTAAGTACGTCTTCCGGTCCGTCGCCACTTCAGAACTTTTCGGACCTATTTTGAATGATGAATAGACCAGACTTAGGTAGGTTACTTACGGGTGTTGCCAGGTTTCAACACGAGTGGACTGAGGGTGTTGATGGAGAAAACCAGTCCGTTCCCGTTGAATCCCATCGTGTAGCCAGGCAAGTGGCCGGCGTAGCACAGAGACGAGAACCTTTCTTCGACAGCCTGGGTTATGAAAGAAACATTTTAATAAAGATTATTATTATTAGGCATTTAGCATAATGAACCTACAGACAGATACATACCTACTTTATGTACACCAACAAGATAAGAAAACAAAAAGAAAGAAATATACAAAAGATACAGCACGGCACATACTCGTAAGTAAGTAAGTAAGTAACTATAGCAAATTAAAAGTATAGGTAGGTATAAGTAGGTAACACATTGACTTTGTTAGAAACGTGACTCGTAGGTTCGTTCGTTCGTTTCAGCCGAATGACGTCCACTGCTAGACAAAGGCCTACTCAATGTCAGTCAGTCCTTTTGGTTCTCCTGCGGATCTCATCAGGTTGTACGAAGGACAGGGCCAGTGTTGTAGGTACTTATACCTAATCTAAAGCTGAACATCCACGGTCAGTTGAACTTATCACTTGAACTGACGTACATCTAGAAATTGACCGTGTGTGTGAAATCTTAAATTTACTCACTGTAAAATGTTAGTTTTAAAACTGACCGTGAGTTTACCGTGACCAGCTTTAGAAAATTTTAAATTTTCATGCAAATTTTCGATTCACGGTTGTCATTTTAAAAATATTTAAGTCTAAAATTCGCACAAAACCACTGGCGTACTCACTCCATTCTCTTTGTCTTCACGTGACGGTATGATGTGCGCGGACATAATGTAGAAGTGATTGAGCGTCTCACTGTAAGCGTCTTCTGTATGGCCTAGAATGCTCTGAAAAAGAAAAAGAATACAAAATTTATTGTTACGGGCAAGAAAAAGAAACGAAAAAGAACTAAAATTGTGTTTTTTCATAGTTCCAAGGATAAATGTCCGAAAACACGTTTAAAGTTTTCAGTCTAATAATTTACAGACATCGTTAGTAAGTAGGTACATGCATACGTTAGGCAAGTTAGTAGGTACGAGGAAGTGCCTCCTTAGGGTTAGTCCTCACTCCCTACACCTCAATCTCAATTTTTTTATATAGTAAAGTAAAAACAAACATTTGGCTTTACTTTCAGTCCATAGAAACTCATCACTACAGCCAGTTAGAAAGCCAGAATGTTCAATAGAAAACAAATATAACCTAGCATGTGAAGGTTCAGATAGACCCGGATCGGGTTTGAAATGTTTCGCTCATTTCCTCATTCTTACTCGTATATTGTTGTTTTGTAATTACTTAGTGTCTTTATTTGTTACGAGTATCAGTTATCATTGTCAATTTATTATACCTACATCAGACAGGACCAGAGTAATAGCCACGTGTCGTCATTTACCTCATTGGTTTATGAGTATACATGTAACTTTGTAAATTTTATTTTTGTAATAAAAAACAAAACAAACGATAATAATTTATTCAAGAAGTCATGTGCCGTAACGCACGTGTTCTTTCATGCGCCTGACTGGAGTGAGTTGCTATGACTGGTTCTATTCTGATCTGGTAATATCTCTACCCTGGGTTTAATGCCGGGGTACTTCTGCCACTGCCCTAGTTACTGGCACTAAGTTTAGTAATAGTTTAAACTTACGTTGTCAGGAGTTACTATGCCGATGGAACTACATCCGCCAGTGTCGTCCCTTGGCACGTGATTGTCGTTGATGGTTCCAATGAGGTCGTCCATTTGCAGAAGGAACAGCTGGAAAGGACATCATGATAATATGCAGATTCTTTATTGTATTGGTAATGGTTGAATGCCTTTTGTATTTTAATTTGAGCTTACGAGCACAGACCTACTCGTGCATTCTATGGTAGGCTGGTTAGTATAAACCACAGTTTAAACAATGGATGGAGTGGTTGTACTACCTACTTTTTGGCGAGTTTCGTGCTTTTGATACTATTTAAGATAATTCAAATCCTTGGGCGAGCGAATGAACTTTTGTCATATAGGTAGAGCCTTGTTTTCCGTCAGAAAATTTATTAAATTGTAGTTTAGTAGTCTTCCTTAGCCAGAAAGGGTCAATCAAAAAAACTTGACGGTGTCCTACGGCTCCAAAGTCTTAGCCTAACCTAGAGCCTATTATTTATTTATTACCTGTGTAAACGACACATTAGCGCCGTCCGCGACTCCTTGCATTTCCTTCACGTAGTACGGATACCTCTTCTTCATATTCGACAGAGTGACGTCATAGGCTTGTCTCCCGGGGTCGGTCTTGTATTCCTTCTCAAAGTCCCGTAGGTTAGCATACGTCGCGATGAAATTCTTGATGACCGAAGAGAAGATGCGGCCCTGTACAAAAAAAGATCGTGAAATCAACATAGAATAAATCATAGTTTTATAATAAGTCATAGGGCAGAGGGTAGGTATCGCAGTAGGTTACATTAGGGCTCCGTACAAGTTTTAGAATATTATAATTATGCAAAGTTGGAAAAGTTATAAATAATTATGATCAATTGTTCATTGTCAAAATTGAACTCATGATGCCCATACCGGCAAGTAGCAGTAGGTACCTACTTGCCGGTATGGGTATAAGTCCAATTGACAATGTTACATTTTTTACTATCCTTTGGTAAAGTTAATAATTATTTGTATTAATCTTAAATTAATGACACTATGATAGAGCGTTGTCGTAGTGCGTAAACAAGCGTACGAATTAGCTTAATAAAATTGGATGATGATTTATAACACTGACCTTGCGAACATGTCCCACAAAAACACAATTTCCGCTTAAAAAAACCTAAAAACCAAAGTTCACCGCGAGGTTTCGCACATTGTAGTTTACCTACTACTACTAGTATAATTGTTACGAGACCAACCCTATTAAGTGCGTATGCGGAAAAAGATAAGATAAATAATATTTCATGTTCATTTGCAGGCTTTTTATAAAAAGTGCTCTATGAGGAATGAGATCAATTTGAAAGAATAAAAGCACTTAATTACGCCTTACATTCGTATTTAAATATGATTGTTATCTACAAGCTTCTTGATGTTTGTTCATAGAGTTTAATTTAAAGGGTTGTTTGACCATGATTTATCCTGATTCTTAAATTATAATTTTGGTATGCCAGTGGGTTATGTAGGTATTGTGTTACTTTGTAAGCTCTAGTAATTAATAACAAGATAGGCCTACGTGAGTTTCATTCACTTGTCGTCTCGCTGCATAATTAGGACATTATGTTACCTCTTACTTGAGGTTATTCGATATTTCCGACCTTATGATATTTCAACTTAGGTCGTATATTCGTGACTATGTGACTAGGCCAGGGCTTCCCAAACATCTTTTAATATGACGCCTTTGACAATTTGTCATTTTATAGTGATGATGCCTCTCCCCCTGATTTTTACTAGAAAATGAGAGCAAAAACAAAATAGATAGAAAATAGATAAACAAAATAGTAGATTTTTGAAACCAATAGATTTATTTAATAAACTATATTAACACATTTGAAGCCAAACAAGTTTTTAACACGTCCGTCCTATCGAGACCGATGTTCAATATTTATGGTAATTAATTGTCTGAATTGGCCGCTGTGATACAAGCTTTCTTGCTTAGTCCAGAGACCGCTAGATTAAATTGAACATGTGACATATTTTAGAAATAAATAAGTACCTTTTACTTTTTAAAGTGATATTTATTTTCCAATGTTGGATATGCTTGCTTTTCTATGCATTGTCAATCTTGTCAATCTCTTTTTCTACATTTATTTTGGACCGGCTCACGCGCCCTTGGGATAATGCCCAGGTCGTCGTGATGCACAGTTTGAGAAGTATAGGACTAGGCGATAGTTCTCGAGCTTAGTGTTCACGACTGATTTATGATCTCAAGTTCATAATCAAACCGCAGTATTATGTCAATGATTAAAAATGTACATGATAACGTGACTTGCATCGGCGTGCGGTGAATAAAGTTAGCAAACCGTGTTTCGTTAATGAGGATTTAGTGGCCTGAATTTTAGTAGATATTCCTTCTACTTCTAGCTTCTTAAACAAATGTACGCCCTTCTCGTGTAATGATTTATCAAGGAGTAGATTAGGTACTCTTTTTCGCAACATATAAAATCTAAAACAAAAGTGCCATGCTTCTAGCCCTTGGACGAGTTAATTCGTCCAAGTTCTAGCCCCAAGGACAAATGTGCCAAAATGATTTCCTTGTAGGTACTCTGTGAACAACTTATTACTGGAACCAAATTACATAAAGAGCCTGAATTAAGGAAGTAATTTGTATGTACAGGTATTGTGCTCCATTCTTGTAACATGTCACTGTTGTCACTCTGGTGACTGCCCGTGACTGATCTCGTAAGTTGAGCCTTCTATTGTTTTTTTTATGCATGCACACACAAACTAAAAGTAAGTAGGATTAAGTAATTCTGAATCTTTTCCAAGTAATAGCGAGCCTATCTTACTAGATTGATATACGCATTTAATCTAAATATATTTATCTCAAAGGCAACTGACTAGTCAGTCAGTCGACTGACATAGTGATCTATCAACGCACAGCCCAAACCACTGGACGGATCGTGCTGAAATCCATCCCTATAGGGGTAAAACGGGATCCACGCGTACGAAGTCGCGGGCGGCCGCTAGTTTTATTAACATAAGCTCCATAAATTTTATGCTAAACTTGTATTTCGTGGATTGGTCAAATAAATATATCTGCGGTGGATATGTTTATTCAAAAATTATTATTTTAAAGATAGATATAGCTTTTGTAAAAGTTGTTTTCAAAACCTAATTTGCAAAATAAGAATTACTTCTTTACTTTGAATTCAAGATACTCAGCGCAAATGATATACCTACCTACTATAAATTATTTGAAAAATACTCTTAATATCTAAATCAAATATGTATCGGCACTTGCTAATGTTATAGTTACATAATGTTATCGGTATTGCCTTTATGTTATTATAACATTTAGTTTATTCATCAAATTACTAATAAAGGTCGCTACGAAATAAATTTTTACTTCTTGTTTTGACAATCGGAGACGTCACGTAGATGAGTCATTTTTTAAAGTTAGTTACAAATGCTCTACATAATATGTAGTATTAAATCTACTACGTTGTTTATTAAAAATATATACTTTTTTTTTGTTCAGAGGGGTAATAAAAGAGACTTCCTGTTCATGGATTGTTTCAGTATCACGTATTTATCCTATTAAACCTACCTACCTACCTAATTTGAAAATCAAACACCTACATAAGTATGTCTAGAAAGATAATGAAATGTATCTCTAAGACTGTCAATGACATCTACTTGATGTTTTTCATTCATTTTTCAAAGCTTTATTTAAATAATTTCTTTTCGCAGTTCCATTAGTGCTAAATAACTAATACTCCGTTCATTATTCATAAGTACGAGTAAGTAGATAGGTATGTTAATAACTTATTTTAAAGTTAATACTTTAAATATAAATAGCTAATGGATTTTTTACGGGTCCGTGGCCGAGTCCCCCTGTGTTCGACGCACCCGTGGTCGACGCCCCCGGTCAGATAGAAGCAATTTTTAATCAAATGTACAGTCAGTAACAAAAATATTTATAAACGAATAAATATTTATACTGGTCGTACAAATAAATGTTTAATATTATTTTACCATAGTGATACCTAAAAATATAATAGGTTTTATTTTAACCTATCATATTTTATCATAGGTTTTATTTACCTATAATAACATGTAAATCGTTTTACCTAATCAAAATAATTGTAACAATCAGTCTTTAAAATAACTCTACTCTCTCTACATTTAACTTACTACAAATAAAAGTTTTAATCATAAAAGTTTTAAGTATTTTTAACAAAAAAATAAATACATCATTTTAAATAGCGTCAAACATGCATGGTTTTCGTTGACTGTACTTAGTGCAAAAGCCGAAAAAAATATGATATTAAATTTATTTAAATCGGGGGCTTCAACCACGGGTGCGTTGAATACTGGGGGACTCGGCCACGGACCCTTTTTTACTCATTAATATTAATAGAAAGTTGAAACTACGAGTGGGTACTTTATACAAAACATAAGGTCCTTCATTAATCAAGGGTAAACTATTGATGTTAGTGAGAACCAATCATACTTTTAGAAGGACTGCTGGTAATCGTTTGTGCTAGGGATGTTATGGTTATGTCGTTTCGGTTATGGATACGGTTACAGATATTGGAATAATATTATACCGGTTACGGTTACAGTTAAGCTTTTTTTTCGGATATCTGAAAGTTTCGGTTACGGTTACGGATATCTGTGGTAAGTAGGCATAGAATGCAAATTAAAATAGTTGTCCAACACAGTTCATGCCTTACCAATATAATGGGTACAGAAGAGATTTCGTTGGCATCTGTCATCTTATTTTGGTCTCATAAAAAACTTTTATCTTATGGGAAAATCTCTTGTACAGTCGCGGAATGAAATTCGTCACCTTAGTGTCGGTTATCGCTTGCACTAGGTACTGTAAGAGTCAAACCTGCCAACATAACAGTGCAAGAAACAGTGCTACTAACATTTAAATAAATATGACGTTTGCTAACGAATAAGGTTTTGCTTCTTTATTTTTCTATCCCATCAGTGCAATGCAATGATGACATTGACCAATTGACAACAGTTTTTTTTTATTTAATAGAAATAATAATGGCAGGTTGAACCAACAAGAAGGTTTTAGTTTATCAATCATAATAATCTTCTTGACAAGATAAATCGTCAAACAACTTTGATCTGAATAATTTTGAACTTTACTGACGAACAGTTAAAGATTATTTTCTCTAACTCGAGATTATTCTGTAACATAGTTTCAAAAGGTAATATGTGCTCGCGATTCGTTGAAGGAATCAATTTGAAAACTGACGAACCTTTTCATTCCGTGACTGTACATCAAATGCAATCATTAACAGCGTAGGGACTTGCTTGACTCTGCCTACATCCGAAACTATCCGAAACCTTTGAATCGGTTATGGATTTTTTTTCGGATATTTGAAAGTTTCGGTTACGGTTACGGATTTCCATAACATCTTCTACCAATCAAGCTATCGGGGTTGCTTGGGCTTTCAAGCTCGTGGGGATTCCCCGGATATAGAGCTGAAAGCGCCACAACTATTAGCCTAGCGTGTTCACAGCAGAATGATTGTAGCACGGATTACGAGCCTAAATACCTGAGTGTCTTCGATTTGTTAGTAAAAATGTACCTTCCGCAGTTAAACCGTACAAAAGGGACAAAGAAGAAATCATTTAAGCAAATTGTTCTAAGAGCGCCCCCCAAAAGAGTTTGTACTACGGCTTGAGGTGTTAGAGAGAGCGGAGCACTAAATAGTTAGGGCCATCAATAGCATCACTACGATGGTCCTCGCCAGTTGATAGTAGTTTTCATAAATATTGGGCTTCGAACTTAAAATAATAATAATATGTACAAAAAATGAGAATTACGTACCGTGTCGTGTCTTTACAAAGAAATATTATTTAAGTAGTTTTTTGTTTCACTGGAATGACTTGTGTTTTTGCCTATGTCTGTATTTTTAGCTCTAATAAATTAGATCAGGATTAATTTCGATGGAGAGCGATTAGTATTTTGAAAAAAATGTTTGTGGTCTGGCTGGCCTAAACCCAAGTACTCACTATAAGTCTTCAAAAGCATAACTTATTGTACTTACCACGTCATACCCCACTTCGTAGTGAGACCCCTGCACGTGGATTACCGGAACCGCACGCCGTCTGCCGAGCTGCTTCTCAGTGAGTACCAAACCTGAAAAAAAATCTCATTTATACAAAGTCATACCTATTACAATAACTATAGTTTTTACGGGCGAATTTGTTTTTCACAAGCTTCTTTTGAAGTAGTATGATTAGGATAGGATCATGAAACAAAAATAGATACCTAGATAAATAAATCGTTTATTTGCAACACACATTATGTATAGATGCAACGAGACAAAGTGACAAAATAGTAGGAGACAAAGATGATAAGCCCGTTTAATGAAACAAAACTAGCTTTTAAAATAGCTGCGTCAGCGCCTTTTCACACGTTCCGGTTGCCGGCTATCCGGCGCCGGGTACCCGGTGGTGAAGTGTATGGGCATGGTACGTAGCTTTCACATGTTCCGGCGTAATTAATCCGGCATGCCCATACATTCACGACCGGGTACCCGGCGCCGGATAGCCGGCAACCGGAACGTGTGAAAAGGCACTCAGTGTGATGTGTGCCGCAGCGATGCAAAAAGCAAAGAGCTCAGTGTAAACACTACCCTCAAAAGGGCAGAACTCCGATTTTCACCTCTTGCTAAATCTGGAGGACTGCTAAGTAGGTTAATATGTTAGAGGAAATGATAAATATTGAAACAAGAAGAATAAATTCGGATTTGAATGTTCATTCTCGTTTCATTTCTATAAGTCAGTCTAGATCAGTGGTTCTTAACCGGTGGTCCGCGTAACACTGGTGGTCCCTGGAGGCATTCCAAGTGGTCCGCAAAAACATCGTAATAAACAAGTGACGTGACGTGATGAGTCGAGTCAACACAACGCAAACGGCGTGCACAGTGGGCGAGAAAACGACCTCCCCTTTCATAGGATTTTGAAAAAAAAATAAAAAAAATAGGTGGTCCCTGACAAGACAGAAATTTAGTAAAATGGTCCCTCGTGACTTTAAAGGTTAAGAACCATTGGTCTAGATACTGAATAATACCTTTTATGTAGAGTAAGCAAAGGCGCAGGCGGAGGCGGTTACTTGATATATTTTTCAGGCATATTACTGCTTAGATATTTTGAAGCTTTGAATCTAATCTGTCTACATAAGTCGAACACAAATGTAATATTGCCGTTACAATGCAGCGTTGCGGTCGCAGTTGAATCTTCGTAAGCAAAATCTTCCAATAAGCAATATTAAGGTAATTTTTTGGTAAACTGAAAAGCTTCTAACTCATATATTTACAATATTTCGGTCCAGTAATAAACAACTCAATTATTTACTTATTATATTTACGATTCATGAACTCTATAAAAAATAAGGAAAATGCAAGAAGCAAGGAAAATTAACTTTCTGTGAAGTTGTTTTGCGATTAAAACGAATTATTTTTTTCGTCCATTAACGGAAGAGTCTTGCTGAGTGCCATCTTTAAAGATTTATGTTTTTACGAGGGAATAAAATATGATATTATTTTTAGTTGCAGGTAGTCAACGCTTTTAAAATCAAAGACTTAAAAAAGAGCATGCACTTGCATAGCTTTTTATCTACCTTCATAAATTACCTATTCTATCTTATTAATATACATTAATCTTTAATCGGGAATCTTATGGATAATATAATAGTAATACTTTTTATAATTAGGCTTTTAAATAGCGCGTCATTCTAACTACCGTATAGGCCAGTGCTGAGAAGAAGCAGCGCAAGAAACTATTTTTAGTTGTATGTGCCTGAAATAGTTCTAAAGGAATCACTTAGTGGCTTCTTTTAGAACCAGGGTTGATAAAAAGTATAAATAAAATTATGCATAGTTTATGATGCTATAAAGGTAGAGATTATGTCCTCACTTTATTCCGCTAAATATTTGAAAGGGCCGGTATTTCGGACAATGTTTGCGGTCCAAAATATTCGCTGTCTTTATGTCCCTTTGCGTTAATATTTCCGCGATTGGAACACTTTAATTCCTTTATTTGAAATTGTTCACCGCATTTAGGTAGAGTTTTTAAATGTTTACAATATTAATGTAATGTAAACTAGCCCCTTATAATTAAAGTTAAAAGAGATTAGGCGTCTTTGTAGGTAGTTATGTACGAAGTTTTGTGTAGGTAAGTTCTTTTTCGAGCGTTAGTTGGAGGAGGCTATATTTTGGTATTTTGACAGGGGTCTGAATTTTGGTCAAAAATGGGTTTGATTTTTCATTATAGAGACTGACTGGCCTTCAATGGCTACCAAAACGATGAACGCGAATGTGCTTATCAATACGATTAAAAATCAACAAACCTGCACATTAATATTATTAAGGTACAGTCGACAGCACATCAGACTTACATTTTGTTCCAAAATAGCATCTATTACAACCATAATAAGATGCTCCATTATTTAGCTTGTCGTGCAGTGCTTCGTATCTGCAGTATTATCACTTTGAAAGTAACTTATACGTTTCCACTATGACGAAAAAATAAACTAAAAAACTTAAACCAGACCATACAAAATTTTAAGCGAGTTAAAAATACATAATTTGCATACATGTAGGTAATTTAATTAAAATTGGTCTACATTTGTGAAGATTCGGCAAAAGGACAAGCGGCCTCTTAATATGTACGGCTCGCGTTAATTAAGGAATACCTGTAGTAAAGCTTTGTAAGCTTTTATCGCGCCATTTTATCGATTTTACGCGATAAACCCATACATTTGTCGCCTAAAATAATCGATAATATTTTATCATGCCTAGCCCGGCTGATGGCAATTAACACTGACCCGCCACAACTTAAGCTGACTTTAGTGTGTCGTACAAAATCCGAATGATTTTTGAACTTGCTGCGATTCTGTGATACCTAAATATTGAATTTTTGACAGCAGTTTAGTAATTTTATTACTTACTTGTTTTACACATTTGGAACGAAAATAATAGACTTAGGTGCAAGTTCATGGACATCGTATTATGATTTGTAACTTCAGTTTTTTATAAGATTTAAGAACTGAGTACATTTAAAGCACGAACCAATTTAAACAAAACACTCACTGTAGGTTGTGGTTAGGTGCCTATTTTCTAAGGTCAACAAACGTCTCTCAGTGAAAGTTTAGTGAAGCTAAAATTGTATGGGCTTAGAGCAGTTCCTAGCAAGCACTACGGAAGAGGAATATATTATGCATTAAAAGCTTGCTGAACTCGCTCGTTTATTCGCTGGGTGCGAAGTACTAGGTGGGGGGGACATAATCTATCGCAGCGCTCATGGTGGTCAAAAGTAGAAATAATGTTAGCTCTGTCATCAGATCTATCTGTCAATGGCAAAGCGATTCTACATAATACATTTTAATATCATTAATTAATCGCATGAAAAGGGTCCTACTGGGAACTTAAATAAAAGAGTGGACTGTATTTCGATAGGGCTGTTTTAATAGCCGTTTACAATTTGGAAATAACTAAACTATACAACGTGGTAGTACAAAAATGAGTCACAGTAGTTGTTGTGCACAGATGTTTGCCTTATGATGAGAGCGTGAATTATTGAACTCTGCCCTTGTTTTGTTCTTAATTCTTCTACATCTCGGACTTGTCCAGCCAATACCAACAACTTTCCTTTAAATACGGTTTGTGGTTGGAATTTGATATTGTAACTCTTACAAACCCGGTCTTCAAAACGATACTCATTTCGATCTGAAAACGATATTTAATTTATTACTAGCGATACAGAAACATTTAAATATATTTACTGTTATATAATGAAACCGTTAAAGTAGCTTTTTCTTTTTGTTTTACTGTAAAACTACAACTATAAATGAAGTAAACAAACCCTGACACAATCAAAATTAAACACACTTTTTGGACTTACCTCGTTTGATTTGAATGACCAAAATGATTTCAAAACCTTTTTTCCACCCAAATAGTGGTATCACAACAATTTATAAGTTGAAAATATTTGTTATTTTTTCATTTCGATATTTTTTCACCAATATACGACCTAAATGTCAATGTGACAGAGCCCACAAAGTTGTGGACGCTAGTTGGCGCTGTAATCGTGCACGGAGCCAATAGTTATTACTAGCGACCCACCCCTGCTACGCACAGGTATAGACCTTCCTCTTGAATCACTGTATTTATTAAAAAAAACCGCATCAAATTCCGTTGCGTAGTTTTTAAGATCTAAGCATACATAGGGACAGACAGACAGGAAAGCGACTTTGTTTTATGTAGTGAAGTGATAGTGATTGTTAGTAAAAAACCAAATTATCTAATTACATACGATACAGGCGATTGGATTAGGAATAAAAACAAGCTCGTTCAACAGTTGAACCAATTAGTTTTGTTCTACACTACAATACGCCTAACTAACTTTACTATAAAACAAGATAATTATGCTCGATTGTATTAGGCAATAGTGATTCAGCTATAATAAATGGTTGAAAAACTGACTTTAATGATAATCGAACCTACGGAACTCATATCACGCGTTTACGCATTTTATAGAATACCTACTTTCTTTTTTTTGTTCAGATTAGTAATTTAGCTTCTAAACCTACTTACGAATATTTTTCGTACTTATTGCTGTAATTATTTTTATAATATTTACTGTGGTGCTAGTGGGATAAACACAGATACAATAAGTATACATGTTTTACATAAGAGTAGGTTTTGCTCGCGGCTATATCCACGCGGCTTTACCTATAATCTTACAATTTTATCAAAATCCGTTTAGATACTTTTGGGTGAAGGAGTAAAATCAATCCATCTTCATAAACTTTCACATTTCTAGATATTAGTAGGATAAGATCAAATATCCTTAGCAGATTCTAAAAGCTCATTTTAATACAAAACTTTATTAAGGTTATTCGCACAGCATTGACTTTAAAATGTATCCTTAGTTATCGAAAATCTGTTATCACCGATAACAGTTACCTACACGATGTTGCGAAGACAGTTTAATATTTAACCTATCAAGATTCAAGTTAAAGTAGCTCAGCTCAAGCATTATAATAATACCACAGAATAATAAATAAGTAGGTACTGATAATACGTAAACATAATTCTTAGGTTTAGCGTACACCTTTTCGAGCAAAAATATGGAATCACCCTTTTCAATTCGAGCGATCATAGAACTAAATGACTGATAAAAGATAAATAAAAATTGTATCATTTTAAAGGTATAAATTACAGTTTAAAGTAATTCAGTTCTTAACAAATGCTCGGAAGAAAACACAAGGGGTGATTCTATTATTTTGCTCGTAAGTTATACGTAATATTAGCTCTTGTTTTTGATCTTCATCCACACACTTCTGTTTAACTTATAACTATCCTTTTTCACACAGATATATAATCTAAATCGCTAAACACTTATCACTTTACTCACCGTGCTCTCTCATCTCTCTGACTATGATGCGGACGATCTAACTCTGACCGCCCGTTGACGCTGTGCAAGACCCACTGCGAACGCTCGATATTGTTTACATTGATATAGTCAAAGCGTTTAGCGACAGTTACCGCGATCGGAAAACCAACTGAGCCTTGAAAACCGGAGGTATCTACGGAAACAGTTCTGAGTTTAGTTTTTGAAAAATTACATCCCGTGTTAACATTTTTTTTAGTATTGATAGTGATAAATGTGCGTTATGAATGATTATACAGTTGAGGTGTGTTTCCTTTGAATGAAATGTCATAACACGCCTTCGCTAGTTAATAATCATAGGTGTTTGGTTCGATATCCGCTCTCATGGATTTAGATGCATTGGAGAAACTATCGCCCGTCTCTTTAGTTTGCATATTGAAAGGATAAATACCAGCTTATTCCCACAATATTTTAGCCTTTTTTAGCGAAATATTTTTTTTGTTTACTGTTCTCTTTTCTTTACCTACGATCTGTTATAACTAATTACGTAGGTAAGTATACTTATGTAGTAGATACGAACAAGAAGCACCAATTGAGTGAAAACAGCAAAAAAGAAATGCCAGGTTGCTAATTAAAAATTTAATGTTTCTCGACTGTCTTCGCTCTTTTATTGTTTGTAATTTGAGGCGGTAAAAGAAAAATAATTTAATTAATACACACTCACTTGACTGAAATAAAAATGCTCAAAAGAAAAGTACTACTGGATAGGTGTGAGTGGATACAATTTTCATGTTAATTAAATCAGAGCAACATTTATAGGTAGAGTTTAAGCTAGGCATTTGGCAAAACCTGACTAACGATGCGGTAAAGGTACACACTCACTTGATTGATTGAATTGTGTTGAAATCTAAGAGAAAAGTAGGTACCTACTGTAATTATTGGTAGCGCATTTTCTTACATAACTTTTCAATTCCTATCATTGGAGGTCCGAAAATATTTCTCATACAATTTGATACCATAATGATCATTCTTCATAAAAAAATTAAAACCTACATATTTAAAAACATAATCATTGTTATTCATAATGTCACTAATCATACACTTAGTTTTTACTAATATTTGTTTTCATACATTTTTCTATACTAATGATCGAAACTCATAATCATTCGAATAAATAACTATAATATTCATAAATGTGATTTATCCTAATATTTGTTTTCATAAATTTATTACTCATAAGTGTATTTATCCATATTATTGAAAATCATGATGTTTATATTCGTATTAAATCGTATTTTAACATTAAATTAATTTGAAATGGTCCAAAACAGGCAATATTTTGTGCCACAAAACTAACGTGACAGAAACGAATCGCTGCAAAACCGACTCCACGTAGTCTTGTCTGCCCTACCCCTAGAGTGTAATTTAAAAGCCGGAGGCGCGGAGGGAGGGCAGCCCTCGCCCGCTGTAACGAGGCTCAGGCGCCCGGGTGAGCTGGAGCGGCTGAGGCTGGTCGCCGAGGCGCCGAAGGCGCCGATGGCGATCCAAAAAGCCGAAGCTGCGGAAGCAAGCGTGGGTGCCTGAGCCTCGTTACGCAAGGGCGGAAGGGCTGCACATCCCGCAGCGCCGGAGACGAGGAGATACCAATGCATGCTGCATGCTTGCTTTCATGCTGCATGCTCTGCATGCTTATCTACTCTATTAAATTATATATGATTTTTTTAAAGATACGAGTATGTCTGTTATAAAGTAAATTATTCTGAACAACAACATTATGAGTTGAAGTTGTTCTTAGTAACAACATTATTAATTAAAACAATATGATCAATGAATGTTATGAAGAAAAAAGATCTGAAAATAAAAATTATGTATTTTAAATGGTTCTTGGTAGTAACACTATTGATAAAAAAATTATGATTACTAACTGTTATGAGCTCCGATGGTAGTAATAAAAATGTATGAATAAAAAAAGTATGAAAAATAAAATTATGAAGAGAGATTATTATGAACACAAATCGGTAGTAAGACAAAGAATAGGATTTAGAATTTTATGTGAGCCAATATAGAACCGTAATTATTATTATCTGTGGTACTAAGCAGGCATGAGTGAATACAATTTTCTGTTAATAAATTCAGAGCAACATTTATAGGTAGAGTTCAAAACTAGGCAACATTTGACGTTCAAAACCTGAAGCTCTATACTACGGTAGCGATGCGGTAAAGCCCAATGTGACACAGACGCAATGTTGTTTTTTTCCGTGTATTGTGCAACCACACGCTATTTGGTCCCAAAATATTTTCCTGCCCTAACATTTAAATGAAAAATGTGTCATTAAAATTCAATAACAAACCTTACACTGCCTTATTTAGTCGCAGTTACCGGAGTTAGAGAAACAAAAACTAGTTGTCACTGTTAATTAATTTAAATGGGACAGTGTCAAGCAGACAGGGCTACAAATAATGCAGCCGGAACTAAGCCCTTGCCGCTAGCGACGACTTTCGGCTTTGATAATGTTAATAAGTCGTTTTTCCATAAACCGGCATGACTTCACCGGCCATGGTGAAGGTACAAAGATAGAAACAAATATTTACGAAATTTTGTGCACCCGTTTCAAAGGAACCGCGCTGTGGTCGAGCACTTTTGAAAGTTAACCGCTCTGAAAACGAGGGAAATATGTTTCATGTAAAAGAAAAACACATAGAAAATAAAAATAACATTATAGTAGTATGAATTACCTATATTTAATTAATTATAAAAATTAGGTACTATAAATAATGTGTCATTACAAACACACGCTTTATTTTTCAACCAAGTTTGTTGCCATAGTTAACGATACTTTATTATTAAAATTAAAGACATTCTATAACTTCGAAAGGAAAGGAATAAGGAAGGAAAACAAAAATCAGTCAGCAGAATTACATGCAAAGGTACTTAATATAAATGAAGAGGCATGCATTTATCAGGTATAACATTGAACCAGGATTTCACTTTTTTGTAGTAGGTATCTAATGTTCAAGATTTTTGATAACTCTTTATTGAGGAAACGATCGGAGCACAGATTCAGCCATTTTAATGTGGGTTCCCAACGAGTTATGCAAACTCAATGAATCCGACATAGGTACCTTAGTAGAATGTATCCTTTTGTTCGCAAAAAATACACGCATACAATAGGACAGCAACTGCTGCTGAATAATAATATTAATGAGGTATTTGTGGTATAGGTATCACGTGGTTAAAATCGCTGGTGACACTAAGGTTAGTATAGACTAGAGCATTTACTTGTAATAGAATAACTAGCCGCAATATGATATGTTTTAGTGTTTGTATCACGCTTTCAAGAATCAATCGTCGAGCACGCTCGAAGTTTTATTACAATCTAATTGAATAAACCAACGAGCGTGTTGGTGTAACATTTCGTCGAGCCTTAATTTACATGAAGTATAGTCGAGCGATACACATTACAAAAATGAGTGAACGCATGGTACCTAGGTATACATCGAAGTGTTACGGGTAAATGCACACTGGCTGTGGGCATTACGTCGAACAGAGCGCCGAGCATTCGCAGGAACGTTAGCCTTAACCTGTATTGTACCATTCGTAAAAACCATTTGTACAGCAATGTTACATTACATAGAAATGCTTTAGTCTATACTCACCTTTATGATTGTTACATGCCAACCACATCAAAACAATTGATTAATTTAAAATTACCTATTTTTGATATTTCCTGTGGACTAAGTAAGTAAGATATAAAGATTATAAAAATACGAAAGCAGTACCATTTTTATAACAGCTAGTTTTCTTGTAGGTATTATTTTATATTCGAAACTTGATTTTATCTATACTTATAATAAATCTGTAGAGAGGTCAATTCTGTACATGAAATATATTTTCAAAATAACTATCAGGGGGTGATTAGTGATCGATACTGATGCCAAAGTTGCTTAGTTACAACAGGATATTGCATAATTCCCACGGGAACGGGAGTTAGCGGGAAAAAACATTTGTATGAAAAAATCTAAACCGCGTAATATAGACGCTTGAAATTTGGCATACAGGTACCTTAGTAAACTTAAAGCTTAGTTACAACAGGATATTGCAAAATTCACACCTGAACGGGAGTTAGCGGGAAAAAAAATTGTATGAAAAAATCTAAACCGCGTAAGATACATAGATGAAGGGGGTAAAACGGGATCCACGCGTACAAAGTCGCGGGCGGCCGCTAGTACTTTAATAAATAAGAAAAACAAAAGAACAACATTATGCACAACATAAAAAACAACAAATTAATTTAATGTATCGTTTCGGTCGTTTGTTCAATATAAATAAGTAGGTTGTTCCTTATGGAATTGTGATAAAACCAAATCAATTTTAAGCGATTTAATGATATTACGTAAACATTTCGTCTAATGCAAATAAATAATTCACCTTTATTAATATGAAATGAAAAGTAAAGATTTAAGTGAGTTTTTTTACATCTGTTTTGTTTTAAATCTATAAATAAATGATGAGAAGTATTTATAAGATTTACATCTAACTGCATTGGGAAACCCATCAGAAAGTTTATTATAGACGGATGCGCCTAAGGGAAATCCCATAGATAAATATACCTATGAAATAAGTGATTTCATTGGAAGGCACTGCAAGTACTTACCTTAAATCCTTCGATGAAATATAACAATAGAGTTTTTGTTTGTGGTTAGCATAGTCGTGTAGTTTACTAAGTAGGTGGGTAATGTATATTTGGTATAGGTATGAGTACATATTAAATGACTACCTAGGTTGTTAAGAGTTATACCTACTCAAGTGATAATTCCTGTCCCCCGTAACGAATTACATAGCTATATGAGGTAGTTTGGAGTCTCGTTCGGGTCTAGGGTTGCCAGGTCCAAAAACACAAAAGCCGGACTCTGTACTTCATTTGGCCGGACATTTTACCTTAAAAGCCGGACATACCTTTTTAATAAACTAACGTACCATGCGTACCATGTCACGGGAGGGGGGGGGGGAGGGGGTGCANGGGGTGCAATAAGCGTCATAGCTCATGAGTGGGTACTATCATCTTTGAATTAACATTAACATTATTCTGTGGCTCACAAGACAATATTTGGCCGGACAAGCCCCTAAAAAGCCAAACAAGACAATATTTGGC